TTCTAGGCTGTTGGACCAGGGGCTTTGGTTTCTTGTTGCCTGCCCACCAGCATGTGGGCCTCTACCCAGGGAGGCTCACAATATAGCAGCTGGTTTTGCCAGAGCAATGAGCAGGAAGAGCCAAGCAGAGAGTGAGAGTGTGGTATCAACCCTAATCTTGGAAGTGACACCCAATCACATTTGCTGTGTTCTATTGATTAAGAAGCCCCTAGGTTCAGCCCACACTCTAGAGTGGGGGATGACACAAGATTGTACAATCTAAGAGGGGATCACTGAGGACCCTCTCAGAAAGCTGCCTGGGATATGTATTCTGCAGGTGAGGAAATCAAACTGGGTTATAATTTAAAAATGAATTGGGGTAAGATAGGACCACCAGAAACTGGGGAACCCCAAGATATCTGTAAGCCAGGCCTGCCAGAAAATAATTCCCGAGATCTTCATAAAATTTCTTTCTATGTTGCCAAATATCCCTGTCTTTTTGTTCACTCTATTCTCTGCCTAAAATTAATCTCTACTTCTCAACATATTCTTTTTCAAGACCCAACTCAGACGCCTCCTTCTGTGAAAGCCTTCCTGACCCTCCCAGAGAGAAAGGTTGACTCACCTGGTCTCCCCTAACATCACTTACATAAAGCATGTTCACATCTATCATCTTATCTTGCCTCATTTGAGCCTTATAACAACCCAGTAAATGGCTAAATATTGTTATCCCCATTTACATCAAGGAAAACTGAGGCACAGAAAGATCAAAACTCAAGATCAAGATCACACAGGTAGTAAGTAGAAGATTTAGGACTTGAACTAAGGTCTTCAGACTCCAAGGTCTATTTTGTTTTGTTTTGTTTTGTTTTTCTGTTTCCTCTATAGCATTTAACATGTCTGTAGTTTTATTCATTTGTTTATTCAAAAATAATTTACTGAGGTGACCTGGGCTGCCCCACACAGAACACAGGCTGGGTCCTCCCTCTAATCCACTCTACCCAGATATCTTCCCTCATTTCTTTGCTTTGCTTAGCCAAACTCTGGCAATCCTTTAGTCCAAGTTTAAGTCATTCCTCCTCCATGAAGCCTTCGCTGACTCCTTCAGCCCACAGAATGCTGGACTTGGAAGTAACTTCAAACACTTTCATTTTATCTTGGGGAAGCTATAGTCTCCAAAAGGAACACAGTATGTCACACAGAAGGTCCCTTTTATGCTGAGTACACTCTATGTGCCTAGCCCAGATCCCATTGTTGGGATGGACACATCCAACCCTTGACTGCTGGGAATCCCAGCTTCTGCAGACTCCTGGTGTACCCTTTTGGGGATCATCCTCAACTGCAGAGAACTGCCTCACCCAGGGTTAAGCCTGTCCCATGGCCAGTGACTGGCTGATGCAGTGGTACAAAGGCACCTCCTTGCCTCTAATTGGGACAACTCTGAAGGATCACCCTACTCCAGAGCTCCCTATAAGACCAGCTTCACCCCTGCCCCCTCCTGTTTCCCTCACCTCCTTATAGGTATTATCTCCTAAGAACACTGCCCAAAAATCATTCCACACACATTTCTCCAACTTTTTAGGGGCCCAGTCTCTTAAAGACACAATTATTATTACTAATATAAATAAGAATGGCAATAAGTTACTGAGCAATACTGTAAAAAAAGCTAACATTTGTTGAGTGCCAGGACCTCTATTTCTTCCTCACATAAACATAAAAGAAAGATTTTATTATTATACTCATTTACCAGATAGAGAGGTGAAAGTTTTTGTTATGTTTTTCACACCTTATAAGTAAAAGGTGGGGTTGGGATTCTTATTCAGGGCTTCAAGTTCTGGAGCCAAGCTCTTAACCACCTCACTGTCACTTGGTGATTATTCTATATACACATCACCTTTCTTAGCTGTAAGATCTTTGAAGAGACATATCAGGTGAAGACTGTCACCAGGCAGACAGCAGGTACTCAATAAATGCTGGTTGGTAAGTGTCCATTGATGGATGAATGGATAAAGAAGTTGTAGTGTTTATATACAATAGAATAGTACTCAGCTGTAAGGAAGAAGGAAATCCTGCCATTTGCAACAATGCGGATGGAACTTAAGGGCATTTTGCTAAATGAAATAAGTCAGACAGAGAAACACAAAGACTGTATAATCTCACCTATATATTAGATGTAAAAAAAGAAAAAAAAACAAAGCCCTAGAAAAGGTGATCAAATTTGTGGTTACCAAAGGCAGGAGTTGCAGGGAGGAAGAATAAGAGGAATGTGGTGTAAAAGAACAAACTTCCAGCTATAAGATAAATAAGTATGAGGAGGTCATGTACAACACAACAACTATAGTTATCACAGCTGTATGGTACATATGAAAATTGTTAGGAGAGTAAATCCTAAGAGCCCTCATCACAAGGAATATTTTTTCTTCTTCTTGTTTTTTCTTTTTATTATGTCTATTTGAGGTGATGGATGTTAACTAAATATATGGTGGTAATAATTTAAAAACATATGTAAGTCAGACCATTGTGCTGTACACCTTAAATTTATACACTGATGTATGTTAATTATATCTCTATAAAACTGGAAAAAATTAAAATTAAAAAATTAAAAATCATTTTAAAATGCTGGTCAGCTAAATGGCTGGTAGGTTGCTTTGTGAACATGCCAAAATCAGGTCAGTAGCACAATGTGCAGGGCCAGTCTTCAGGACTTCAAAATTCTGGCTGAGGGTTCCCGCTCTTACACCTGCCTCTCTGCTATTTACTTGCAGACATTTAAAGGTCAGGGTGGTAATGTTCAGCCATGAACTTTTCACTTCTACCAGGATCATAGGCATTAAAGAAGCAGGTGTGTGTGTCTGCATGTGTGTGTGCATGTGTGTATGTGTGATCACGCATGTGTGATGGGGGCAGCTGGCTCTGAGTGAGGCAGCTGCTATCACACCCTCTTCTGGGTTTACTCCAGAGTGTCTGTTCTCTCCAAGCAGGTTTGGCAGGACTACAGTGTATTTGGGAGTCTTCTGTCAAGGGAGCTAGCTGCTTTGGGTCTCTGTGGGAACTCTAAATCCATGTCTGCTACATCACCAGGTCTCTGAGCTCCGATAGCCATTAGCTGCCTATAAGCCATTCAATCTGACAGCAAATTTTGATCTTTCTTTAAACCACTTAATTAATCATTTCAGGCAAGTCTTAACTTCATAACTAGACCAAACTCCCTCTAGCAGGCAGCAGTGAGCTCATTGTCTACTCATCATCTACCCAGCCTCCAGCTGGGTGCTGGACACATGAGAGCTGCTCAAGGGAAAGTTGAGGACTGAGGAAGGAGTCAGATGCCTACATCCTCAGGGCAGCTCACAAGACCCAGCCCTGGCAATGGCCCCATGATCTTGCCTCTGGACCATGGCATGGGGTGGTGAAGGGAAAGAGGGGACACAGGAGAAAGGCTGCTCCTCAGGAGCATTCTCTATTAGTGGTGGATTTGTAACAAATTTAAGGTATGGGGTTGTCATGACTAATTGTTAAGAATGTGACAAAAAGACATGAGAGGAAGCAACATGAACATCATAGTCTGGCCCATCAGATACATCAATGTCCTGCCTCTTAGCCCTCCAGAGCATTTGCGTCACAGCACTAGAGTCTGAACTCCTCACTCTAGTCTAAAAGGGTGGGGTTTCCAGTCCTTTACATGTTACCTACCTCTCATTCCAAAAATAAAACACTTTGAAAAAAGAAATAAAAATGAGAAAACTCAAAATCAGGTAGTGGAGACAGACTAGTAATCATACATTAGTGAATAACAGTAAATGCAATGATAAAATGTTGATGTAGCTTTTTGGGCTCTTGAAGAAGGGTACCTAACTTGGGTGGAAAGGTCAGGACAAACTTATTGGAGGAAGAGATATCTTGATTGACTCTTAACAGAAGAGTAGAATTGAGGGCTGCTGTCTTCCACATCATTTAGCTGTCCAAAAAGAAGATCCAGAAAAAGAGTTTATAGGTCTATTGTGGCCTCTTGGGACACCTAAAGGCTGATGCCATATGCTCACAGCAGAAGTGGCACATCCCCATATACCCCAAGGGTGTTTAGTTATAAGGGGAAATAGTAGGACAGTTACAAAGCTAGCCCAAGCTGGGTGCAGTTAAAAGGGGCATTTGCAGAAATCATTTCTTAATTAACATCATGGCCTTCCTGCCCATTTCAGATCTCCAGCGATGTACAAAGCTGGGTAAGGCCTCCCAGGCTTTGATTCCTCAAGTTTATCTTTTAAGCCCCTCATTTCTGTTGGGTGAGATGAAATCTCTAAATTCCAACTTCACAGAGACCCACCAATCCCCTCCCCACCCCCATTCCTTAGCAACCTCTCAGAATGAGTGTTCTTTTAAAAGAGACAAGGTCCTTGCTGACATCTCTCTTTAGAGAGCTCCATCAAAATCCTGCATTTGCCCAGTGTCCTTTCCTTGGCCACTGGTAACCAAGGAAACAAGATACTATGGTAACACTGGGAGGAGAGAAAGGGAGGCATCCAGAGTCCTTGCTCACTCTCTCTCCTCTCTCCTGGAATCAAGGCAGTTACCAGGGCAGAGAGAACATCTGTTCTCAGCTTCCTGGGAGAGAGCACCAGGACACCCACATGGGTGGCTTAATAGCTGACACTCAGAGCTTCCCATTCCCCAACTTGAAAACTGGTGCCCCAGGGCCCCCCAAAACAATGTGCTTTCCCAGGACTGAGGCTCAGCCCTCTCTAGAACTTATAATATAATGTGTAAATACCAGATGTAAGGGATGCATAGATGTTTATTCAAGTGAGTGAACAAAATAGAGATTGGGATCATGTATAAGCAAAGCCCTAAGCATATTTGAAATTATGATGTATGACAAAATTACCAAGTGTTTGCACAATCTTTAACAGTGTTGGATTTATCTCTGATTTCGCCCTGCTCTTCTGCCTCCTTGTTCAGTGCCTCCCACCCCACCGTCTCTATCTCTGCTTCTCAGGTGCCCTATCCCTGTATTTTTCTCTGCTTACCTGCCTCTCCCTCTGAGGCTGCAGTCCTGCTTCTTTCTGTCTCACTCTCCCTCCTCCTTCCTTCTGACCTGCAGTTCACCTGTCACTCTCAGGATGGAGTGGCTTAAAGAGAAAGATGCCCTGTGTTCTGGTGCCGGCTCAGCCCCTGCCAGTCCACTCTGTATAGAACGCCGCGTTTACTCTCGCCAACCTCACCGTAGACAGGCCTTATGTGGGGCACCTTGGGGTGAGGCTTGAAGGAGGCCCAAACATTACAAACTGTGATATATGCGATGATGTCATAATCCCAATGCAGTCCTCAGGAGCAATAGAGAAACCTACCTTTTTGTCTCCAATCCTTTGCTGATTGAATCTTATTTTACAACCTTAAGAATTCTCCATAGAGTTTTAAAATCTTTTCTTCTGATTCCTATGTTAAATCCTGCTCCACAGGAACTGCCTTTTCTAATTTTTCAGCATTGACTCCCTTCCTTAGAACAGTGTGGTGTCTGAACTGCTTTGATCACACACCCTTATCGATCAAAATATTTCAAACGTGTACCTCCTAGTATAAGTGCACGTATGTATTTATAAAGCACATACATGTACTACTGTACTAATATTTTGTGCATGATAAATATACACCAAAAGGGGAATTTGAAAGGAAGTAAAAAAAATAAAAGGAAGTGATATATCTAAAAGGAAGTAATATGTTATATCTTCTTGGGCCACCCTAAGGGACTGTCTGTACACCCCATGTTGCCTACTCAGTCCCTTTTGATAACTGAGAACCTTGCTTTGCCTCTTATGTCAGTGATTTAGGGTTCCCAGAGAACCTAGGGAAGATTGTTGAAGGACCAGAACATGATAGAATTTCTTTGTCAGGGAGGGTATTCATTTCCTGAGGCAGCTGTGACAAAGGACCACAGACTGGGCAGCTGTAACAACAGAAATGCTTTGTTTCATGGTTTTGGAGCCTGGAAGTCTGAGGTCAAGGTGTTGGAAGGTTTGATTTCCTCTGATGGCTGAGATGTATAACCTGTTACATGCCTCTTTCCCAGCTTCTGGTGGTTTGTGGGCCAGTTTTGGCATTCCCTGACTTGTGGGTGCATCACCCTGAGCTCTGCCTCCCGTCCTCACATGACATTCTCTCTGGGTACATGCCTGTCTCTATGTCCAAATCTCCCTTTTTTACAAGGATGCAGGTATACTGGAGGAGAGCCTATTTTAATGATCTCCTCTTAACTTGATGATCCTGACTTACATCTAATTTCCAAATAAGCTTACTGTTGTAGAATAAATTATGTCCTTCTGAAAATCTGCATGTTGAAGCCCTAACTCCCAATGTGACTGTATTGAAGATATGGACTTTAAATAAGTAAGGTTAAGCGAGGCTATGATTAGTTGGGCACTCGTCCAGTATGACGGGTGTCCTCACAAGAAGAGGAAGAGATGCCAAGAGTGCAGATACAGAGGAAAGGCCATGTGAGGACACAGTGAGAAGGTGGTCACCTGCAAGCTAAAGAGAGAAGCCTCAGAAGGAACCAGTCCTGCTAACCCCTTGATCTTGGACTTGTAGCCTCCAGAAACATGAGGATAAATTCCTCTTGTTTAGTCCTGCCAGTCTGTGCTATTTCATTGCATCAGCCCTAGCAGACTAACACAGGCACAGTGAGGAGGGGGACACAATTTAATCCATGACAAGGGGCTAATGGTAAATTGGATAACAAGCCAGGGCCTTTACACTGAGTTGTGGGCATGAAGCTTCTCCAGGGTGGGCAAGTTGGGACAGCCATGAGAAGCAGGAAAGAGTCCTCTTTGCCAAGCTGCCTTCTACCAGTGGGCAGGATGGCCTATATCTGAGAGTTGACATCACCAGGCTGCAGGTCTACTCATGGGCATGGGGCTCTGGTCAGCCACTACTTCTGCAAAAGTCTCCATTCACCAAAGCAGCCTCATGCTATCTTCTATTCTGAGGTTCCCAACACAGTAGCTGTTATTTGTAGAAGAGACTGTGCTCTGAAAATCTATAGTGTCTGCATTTGAAACAGCGACACGGCCAGGCTGCTTCTAAAGGAACAAGGACACACCCTCCCAACTCTTGATTGAAAGGAAGCCAGATCGTGGTGTTTGTTTCCTAAACAAGAATTGAACGTTTGTCACTCGTGCTATTTAATTATGACCCAAGAGGTTTCCTAACATTCACATTCTGTCTGTGGTGCCTGTTTAATTTTGGTATTAAAGACACAGTCTCTATTAGTTACCAAGTAACAAGTGTTTAAACCTCAATAAATAACATTTTTAATAATAAGGTTCTGAAATGCATAGATCACATCTCCCTGTTCATTCTCTAAGAAAAACATTTTAATTATCTATTGACACATATTGCACATGGAACAACCTTCTTTTTAAAAGATAAATGGGTTTATAGGCGAGTCGGGTTAATTAAAAGCCAGTGGAGTATTACAAGTGTATTTACGGGGGAATATTCACTGTAGGAGAGGAATGGTTCCTACACAGTTGTCAGAATTCTGTAAATGTATTGTTTAATAACCACTCGGCACTTAATTATAGTGAGATGGTGAGAGCTTAAATCTAAACTAAGTGTGCATTCCAGTTATCTCTTCTAAATGGCTTCTCCTCCGTGTCATAGATTCTCCAGGTCAGGCCGCGCTGAGGCACGAGCTGATGACCTGGGCAATTGCCGACCGGAAACTTCCCAGGACCACAGACCTGTCATGAACAAGTGCCCACTGTGATCCTGGACACCAAGAGGAAAGGTTCAGATTCAATCCCAAGGCGAGGCAAGTTCTGAGAAAGGCCTAGAAGTTGAAGTGCAACGTCCTTATAATGCCACTCAAGGGCTTTCACCTTTGAGATGCTACCAGCTTTTCACCCCCCACACCGCTCACCTCTAACCCTAAACTCCAGAGTGTGTCTTACCAGATCCATTTCCCCCTGCCACAGAGAACAGCTGTTCTCTCAGCTTGATCCCATGGGAAGGATGAACAGTCTGATCTACAGTGAGAACACAGCATGAACAAGAAAAACACTTTGTTGTTCAAGTCATGAAGATTGGGGACTGTTTGTTATTCCAGCATAACATACCCCATTCTGACTCATACACTTCCCTTCACCAATCCCAGAGTCTGGTCTGGAGCAGACACTCTGCAAATGCTTGACAGTGAATAAATATAGGAGTCTTCCAATAAATCTTCCCTTTCTTCTCTGGAGTATTATCTGATTATCTGATCCTGGAGAATCACCTCCAGACTTCTGAGGGACTTCAAGGATCTCTCCCTGTGTGGTGTGAGCACGAAGAGCCAGCTCTGAGCTGAGAAGCTTGAATTCTGGATCATACTCATAACCTACTGAAATGCAATGATCCAGGGGTGCCTGGGTGGCTTAGTCACTTGAGTGTCTGACTCTTGATTTTGGCTCAGGTCATGTTCTCACAGTTTGTGGGATTGAGCCTTGCATTGGGCTCTGTGCTGACAGAGAGTGGAGACTGGTTGGGATTTTCTCTCTTTCCCTGTTTCTCTGCCCCTCCCCTGCTCTCTCTTTCTCTCTCTCTCTCTCAAAATAAATAAATCAGCATTTAAAAACACACAAAAAAATAAAATAAAATGTACCAATTCATGGTTATTACTATAAGCAAATTGGCAATTATGAAGGGTTTGGGGAAAAAATTACAGGAAGAAATGTACCACTGAAACAAATATCCATGTTTTTGTGCTTGTGTCTGTGTGTGTGTGCTTGTGTGTGTCTGTATGTGTGTGTGCATGTATGTATTTATGTGTGTGTGTGCATGTATGTTGGCCTTCTCATGACCCATTCTCCTGTTTTTGGTAATGGCTCTCCAATTTTTCTTTGGGGGACCAGCTCCCAACCCCACTCTCAGGTGTTGTGGTTTGGGTGGCATAGACCACACCCCAAGTTCTAGGAGTAGCAATAATGGGTCTAGGTCACAAAACAAGGTAATGATAAAGTCAGACCCAGACCAAAGTCTCCTAATCTTGGGCATGATTCACTCACTTTACATCTGTCTGGTGAACTCCTGCTGTGAGCCAGGGCTAGGTTCTGGGAATACAGCAGTGAGAAAACCAGATGAACACTCTGCTTTCAGAGGGCTCAGATGCAATCCAGTGCTCTTTCTATCATGACACTGTCCCTCTCTCTCTACCTAAAAACCATCCTCCCATCCTCCCCCTGACCCATCCAGATGCCCCCTCTTCCCAAATACCTCTGCTGACTACTCCAACCATCACTGACTTTCCTCTGTATCCTGAATTCCTTCTGCCACAGAACCCAGCATGTGAATAGAAGTTGGACAAGTCACCCATGGGAGTGGCCAGCTAGGGACAAGGGATACATGGCTCAGAAGAGGAGGGACTAGGGGATGATTGGCATGATGTTCCTTCATGGCACCCCACAAATCCCACTGAAGCTGGAGCTGCCTCACTCATGGATGGCCCAGGGCAGTTGATGAACTAACCCCTTCTGACCCTAGATTGGGGAGTTTCTAGCTTGCCCCTCCAACCATTCAACCTCTGAGCTAACATCTGGCTCCCCACCTTCAGGGAAGGAAAACAGAGAGATCTAGAAGTGACAGGGCCCTAACCACTCAGTTGGAAACAAAGTCATTGGGAGCCACAGGAAGAAGGAATGGGCCCAGAAGTTGATTGCATTGCCCCTGGCAACCACACGTCCCAGCAGGTCGAGCCAATACCACAACGCTCACTAGGATGTGGTTTCCTGAAGCTCACAAAAGAAATCTATATCATTCTCAGGAGCAACCAACCTTTCTGCAGGCAGCATGTCCCCGGCAGTCTGTGGGAAGCTTAAAGGGACACAGAAATCCAGCCCAGAAGGTGGCTAAGCCTCAGTCTCTAGACCATTAGCCTAAAGGGAATATGGCATTTCATCTCTCACTGTCCCTCCCCCTCCCCCTCACCACCAACACCTCTCAGCCCCACAGCTGCAATGGCCTCCCAACTGAGAAGTGATATTTGTTTTAGTCTCTCTCCTTTCTAATCCAGTCTAATAATAGTAACTGATGTTTATGGGGCACTCATTATATGCTAGACTATACACAAGATACTTTACAAGTATTAACTCATTTTATCCTCAGAAAACCCAGGCTTATGGGGTAGATATTATTAGTATCTCCATTTTTAAGCTGAAGAATCTGAAGGGCAGAGCAGTTAAATAACTGGCCCAAAGTCACACAGTTCATCAGA